TGGTGGCATGGATTGAAGGCTGGATTCGAAGTCAAAAGACCTGGCTCTCCTACTTATTACCTTGAGTGACCTCCAGCAAGCAATTTAACTACTCTGAGCCCCAGTTTCCTCAATTGTAATATGAGGGGTTAAACTAGATGATATGTAAGGTTTCTTCCTGCTCTAACTCTATGATGATCTTTTAGACCCATTACTGTTTTATAAACCCAAGAGAATGTCAAAAAGGAAGTCTTAAATACCCCATTTGTATCAAGAACCTGTTAGATTTAAAAGGATCTAACTGTGTATCTATCATTTTCCTCCCAGAGGGTTGGGTGGAGAGTTTAAGTTCATTGTTCTACACATGATTTTCCTGAGAATATGCCTAACCCTCTTTTTTGGTGCATTTTTTTACTCTATTATTTGTATTTTGTAACATTTTTTTTATTATGGTATTTTATTTTTTCCCCTGTTACATGTCAAGAGAAATTTTAGCATTTATTTTTGTAAGATTTTGAGTTTCAGATTTTTCTCCCACCCTCCCTCCCCTCCCTTCTTCTGAAAATGGTAGGCAGTTTGATACAGTTTATTCATGTGCTATCATGTAAAAAATATTTCCACATTAGTCACGGTTGTGAAAGAAGAAACAGATTAAAAAAGAAAACTTTTTGGTGTATTTTGAAACAAGTTTTTGTCTTCTTATGTAGATTGAACCTATCTTACGTAGATTGAATCTTATGTAGATTGCACAGAATAACAACTGTTATCTGTAGTGTGCTTTAAAGTTTAAGAAGCATTTTACACACTTAAATATTGCTTAAGTATTACAACATCCCCATGAGTCAGGTTGGACAGGTATTATTTCCTCCCATTGTACAGATGTGGAACCTGAGGGTCGAAGGGGTTACAGAATTTGCTTAGAGTCACATAGTTTGTAAATATCAGAGGCAGGATTTAAACTCAAGATTTACTGGCTCCAAGTACAACGCTCTATCCTTTATTCCACATCATCTCTCAAACGCCTTTGGACCTTAGAAAGAGCTATATGCCAAAGAAGCCAAAATCCTAAACACTTAAGAATTTAGACTGAATCAGTAAACACACAGCTTGGTTCCCTCTTGGTTGTTGTTTAGTTGGGTTTTATTCATGTGTGACTCTCCATGACCTCATTTGGAGTTTTCTTGGCAAAGATATTGGAGTGATTTGCCAGATTTTAAAAAAAAAATTTTTTTTTTTTGGCAAGGCAACTGGGGTTAAGTGATTTGCCCAGGGTCACACAGCTAGTAAGTGTCAAGTGTCTGGTCTGAGACCACATTTGAACTCAGGTCCTCCTGATTCCAGGCCCAGCACTCTATTCACTGCACCACCCACCTGCCCCTGATTTGCCATTTCTTTCTCCAGCTCATTTTACAAATGAGGGAACTGAGGCAAACAGGTTAACTGACTCGCCCACGGTCACATGGCTAGTAAGTGTCTGAAGCCAGATTTGAACTCAGGTCTTCTTGACTCCAGGCCCAGCACTCTATCCATTGTGCCACCTCGCTGCCCTGTGTTCCTTCTAGTTGTTTTAAAGTGATAACTGAATGACTATGGCACATGAACAACAAACTATGAAGACTGAATGTACTTTAATAGAGTTTAGTGTTGTAATCAAATAACATTTACAACAAAGTTAATCAGACACATATTTAATGAAATGTATAATTTTGTGCTGTATGATAATTAGGAACAGATGGTAAACCATTCACCCAAATGACTCTTAATAAGTCATTTACTAATCACTATGTTTTAAACAATCAAACCAAGAATTTTGAGGGTCAACTTGAGGGATAGGGTGGGGAAATCAGGATGAACTAGGACCCTGCCCTGAGGCTCCTCTAAAAAGACTCAGTATATAGGGGAGACCCAGGCCTCTTCCTTTTATAGCAGGTGGTGGTACATAGCTGGGGTGTTGCATCAGCTTCCAGGTGACAATTGTATCCACCTCCAAAAGCCAAGACAGCAAAGGCAAGTACTTGGTTGGTCAAACTCAAAAAGCAGTTATTAAAAGTTCAATATTGATATGGCAGATCTCCAGTGAAGTAAGCCAGGGATCTATCCTTGGTCCTGTGCTGTTTAATATTTAGATGAAGTTATAGATGGTATGTTCACCAGACCTGCAGAAGACACAAAACCAGGAGGGTTAACTAACATATTGGATGGCAGAATCAAGGGAGAGCTTTCTGTAAAACCATAAAAGATGAAATTCAATTAGGACAAATGTAAAATCTTGCATTTGGGTACAAAAAAAAATCAACTTTACAAGTACAAGTTGGAAGAAGGCATGGATAGACCAGAAGATGTTCTGAAAAAGACCTGGGAGGTTTGGAAGTAGACTGCAAACTCAATGAGTCAGCTGTGTTATGGAGCACCCAAAAAAGTTAATGTGATTTTGGGCTGCATTAAGAGAGGTTTATCTTCCAGGAATTTGTTGTCATTCAGCCATTTTTAAGTTGTGTCTGAATCTCTGTGACCCAATTTGGGGGTTTTCTGGGCAGAGATATTGGAGTGGTTTGCCATTTCCTTCTTCAGCTCATTTTACAGATGAGGAACTGAGGCAAACAGGGTTGAGTGACTTGCCCAGGGTCACACCTAGCAAGTGTTTGAGGCTCAATTTGAACTTGGGAAGATAAATCTTCCTGATTCCAATCTACTGTACCACCTAGGTGCTTCACCTTCCAGGAGTAGGGAGGTAATATAGTCCCACTGTATTGCTTTAGATTTCATCTGCAGTGTTTTGTTTATAGTTATGTTATCACTGTTTAAGAAGGACATTGATGAACAACAACATAAAAATGTCCAGAGGAGGGCAACCAGATTAATGAAGGGTCTTGAGTCTATGACATATAAGGATTAGGTGAAAAAAATGGGCATGTTTAGAGAAGACTCAGAAGGTACAAGATAGATGTCTCTAAATACCTGAAGGGCTATAATGTGAAGGAGTGATAAGGTTTATTCTTTTTGGTCTCAGAGAACAGAACCAGTAGCAATGGGTGGAAATTGCAAATGGGCCAATTTAGACTTGCTATTAGGAAAAACCTCCTAACAAACTGAACTGTCTAAAAGTGGAATAAGCTCTCTCAAGAAATGATGGATTACCCCCCCCCCCCACTTTGGAGGTCTTCAAGAAGAGGATTGAAGGGTATAATACACCTGCCAAGTATATTATAGACATACTTTTGTGTATGGGTTGGACTAGATGGTTTCTGTAGTCTCAACTCCCAAATTTTGTGATTCTGGGACACCCCTTTCTGTGTGTGTGTGTGTGTGTGTGTATATACACACACACATATATGTATACATGTGTACATACACATATATACATATACACATACATACATATATACATATATATACATACATACATATATATATATATATATATATATATATATATATATATATATATATAACTGGCAAACTTCATTGAAGGGTAAAGATCAGCTTAGACTTCAGATACAGACAGAAAGCTGGTGAGACTCAAAAAGAGAGAAGAGACCAACTCCTTTCTTAGAAGATTTGTCATTTTTAGGGGCCACAAGCTTCTTTTCTTACCATAGCTCTAGGAGTTAGAACAGGAGGGTAAATTAAATGGTCTCATTTAAGAGTTCTCCACATTTTAGTCTGAAAATCCACCAGATATTCATTTGGGCCAACAAATCATTCCCCAAGGTGGACTAGTAGCCATCTCTCATTCATGCCTTAGCATAAATTAGTTCTGAACAACTTGCTTCCCTAGTACCAAGCTAAGATGGTGAAGCTTAAGGTTTGGGCAAAGGCAGGAGAGAAATATACTTCTGGACCACAGGAACATGGAAAGCCAGGCCATGATTATATAGGAGTCTGTAGTTTGAGAAGTGCCAGGCAAATAGGAAGGTAGGATGAGGGCACCTTGGGCCTGAGGGTTGGAAGGCAAAGGAAAAAAGGTAGCAGGATGTAGGAGGCGGGAACAGAAAGACAGCTAGGAAGCAGGCACAGAAAGGGAGCTGGGGAGAGGACTCAGAAAGGGAAACAGGAAGGCCTGCAGAATAAGAATGGGGCACAAAAAAGGAGATGCTAAAAAAAGGGAATCTAGGATTGTGCTCAGCACAGAGATGTGCCCATGGTATTTCTTGACCCGTGCAGCCAAGCATTAGCGTACCTTAAAGGGATCTATGCCAACAAATCTATATTTCCTCTGACTCTTGGCCTACAACTTGTTCTCTCATCCTTTCTGACCATACTACTTCTGACTGTGTAGCTCCCTTCAGACCCTCTGTTTTCAAAGTATTCTCCCAATCCTGTCTCAGGGGCACTCAGACTTGAAGGAGAATCCTCTCTCCTATGATGTTTGGAATAGGTAAGGCAAAGGGTATGAGTGAGTGGCAGAAAAGCCTGTGGCTCTGGAAGAAGAGATAGAGGAATTGCTAAAAAAAAATGTAGGATCAGGGATTTAAAGCAAGAAGGAACCTTTCATTTTCTTCATTTTTACAGATGAGGAAACTGAGGCCCAAAGGGATTAAATGACTTGTTCAATAGTTATACAGATAATAATGAATAGCAGAATTTGAATCTAGATCTTCTGACTCCAAATTCAACATGGTATCCACACCTGGGTGACCAGGGATCTCCTTTTCAAATTTCTTGTTTTATTTTTTTGTTTAGGAGACAGGAAATTTTTACTCTACAAAATGTAAACATCACTATTCATTTTCTTAATAGGAGTTAAAGGACATTTAGGCCCCATCTGAGGAAGACAAAGCATTAGGATAGCTTTTCCAGAAGTTAATGATTAAAGAAAAAGCCTGATGGAACACATCTTAACTACAGTTACTAATTAAGCCAACAACAGTGAGAAAAGTAATTTAAACAGAAAAATAAAATGGTCTACTAATCGACATCTCTATAACAATTCAAACCATACGTGCATAAAACTAAACAATTACAATAATGTTTCAAGTACATTTTAAATATTTTTTAACAACACAATGATTTAACACATATAGTTTTATATCTTTTATTCAGATGTATGCTACCCGTTTGGTCCCTGATAAAGGAGCTCTATGACTTTTTTGGGGGGGTGAAGAATTTAACAGAAATAACTCCACTCAGAGTCTGAGTGAAGGATATAATGAAATCTGTTTGCTGTGTTAGCTGTTTCCAGATTGGGCTGTAATTACACTACATAAGGAAGAAAGGTAGCTGAGTCTCAATCTAGATCATTTATGTAAACTCAGCCTTCTTGTCAACGCTGTTCTCATATTGCATGCATGCAAACCACAAAAACCATCTCCTATGAACAAAACAGAGACAGTGTCAAGTTGCTGGGTTGTGATATACCTTATATTCTTTCTGTAATTGGATGTCTGTGGTTCAAGACTTTCAAATTCAACACTGTGAGGTTAAACAAAATCCCCCCAACAAATTACCTGGTACTACGATTAAACCACGGAAAATTTGTACCAATAAAAGAGTATTCCTCAATCCTAAGTATTACAAATTTATACATTTCATTTGAAAGACAATTCTGTTATTAATCACGGAAAAAAGAATGTATCATTGTTAGCGAAGATGACTTTGATCAAGGAGAAAAAGTCTGGTTCCCTGAAATGGTGGTTAAAAATTTAATCTTCAGGATAGAGAGAGAAAAGAGGCAATTCCTTCTTCTGTAAGAACCAAGTGAATACCAGATAGCCCTTAAAAATTTCCTACCTACGACACTTGACACATTTTCTCAGTACATTAAGCAAATATTAAAAACATGAGGCACAAAGTATTTTCATATTTGAATACATAAAACTGAGAGGAGACATAATTGCAGAGAGACAGAGAAAGGGTATTCCTTCCTAATTCACTGGACTTCCCTTCACAACGACAAATTGGTAGATTAATTCTTGACTTCACACTCTTCTAGTCTGGCCTGCTCAGAAAGGGTTGCTCACGACACCTGCAGCTGCCTGCCTGCCCCCCTCCGTCCTTTTTAGCGTAGGGAAACCACAGGCCATCACCCTGGCGCCATCCCTAGCTCAGTCCAATCAATACGGACTTATTTCCTGTCCATTTGCTGAGGTCACAGGAGCGAAGCTCATTAATTATTTCTGCTAGAGCTGCCTCAAGTGTGCTTCTGGCATGCCAAGTGAAAACTGTTTGACCTTTTTTTTTTCTTCTTCTTCTCCTAATTTTGTTTGCAGCAGCTCCAAAAAGAAGGCGAATCTCATTCAGTTATGTGGTAAATGAAAAAAAAAATTAAACCACTGACACATTTAGATGGTTCACAGTGGAGACCTCTCCCCACATCTTCCCTGTTATTTTCAGCCAACGAACAATAGTCTCTTTTTAAATTCTGTGTCAAGGAAACCTGGTGACAGCATACACAATGTTTTCTAAAGCAGATCTGGCCTCAGAGGGAGGAAAGCACTCCAGGGCTTCCAGGGCCTTGTTTCCATGGTAACGACATAGGTCAATAGCTGAAGTCACACCTTTGCCAGCCAGGATTGCTTCTTGCAACTGTTAGGAAACATATGCATAATAAAAATCAGTTTTGAAGATACCCAGTAAGCGCCACACTTATATACATCTAAGGGGGTGAAAATAGATTATGTATTCAATACTCCTCTTACCTTCTTTTCAGGTAAAGAAGACAGCATTTGCAAATGGTCCAAAGGACTAATGACCTTAAGGTTGCTGGAAGCCCACATCCTCCCACCCCAAAGGCACAATAAGCCCCAATCACAGTAATTACATCATCTCCAACATTACACCACCTCTCTGTAACTTGAAATGTCCCATTCTTGAGGATGAATGTAATACAGGTGGAGGGCATTTAAATATCTGGCATTTTGCATTCAGCAGCCTGGTATTTTTATGGGCAGCATGCTTCACTGACATAGTAGTTAATCACTTATTTTCTTTTACACCATATGTTGATAACACTCGTCCAAATGAAATTTTAAAACAGAGTGCTGCATCCAAATGCTGTAAGTCAAACACTCTAAGACTTAACTTTGTCTGATGTAAGGCAGCAGAGTAAGTTGTGAAAAGAGTCAGAAGAGCTGGATGACTTGTCATGGATTGGCTGTATGACCTTGGATAAATCATGTAACTTGCCTGAGCCTCAGTCTTCAGATTAATTAAACGGGAATAGTAACACGATCATTACCTACCTCAAAGAGGGGCTGTGAAGATTAAATGAGATAATGTATGTAAAGTGATGCACAACTGATAAGTAAAATGTACTTGACTACTACTACTATTATGAAGCACCAGTTCAGTATGTCATCCCCCAAAAAACCAACCAACCAACCAACCAACCAACCAACCAAACACACCTCCTTATCAGTTTTCCACTAGGGAAAACTTTCAGAAACGGCCACTCTGCCCTATGTCAAAGCATAAATAAGCATGTGTCCAGGGTTTCACTTGTGAGTAACTCTTGATAATTAGTCTTCCACTCATTCAACAGGAATTTAAGTACCTACTATGTTCCAGGCACCATGCTAGGTACTAGAACAAAGACAAAAAGGAAATTGTCCCTATATTCAAAGAACTTATATTCTACTAGGGGATAGGGGAGCAACAAGAACATAGAGACATAAATACAAAGTAATTTAGTGGAGTGGAAGGATCAAAACAGGCCCAGTGCAGGAGATGACATCACAGCTGAATCTTGAAGGAAGCTAAGGATTCTACCAGGTAGAGGTTAAGGAGGGATGTCCTCCAGGAGAGGAGGGCAGACTGTCTAGATCCAAGATGGAAGTCAGAATGCCATGAATGGTGAAAGAGCAAAACCAGTTTGTCTGGAAGGTAGCAGTGATATACCATAAGCCTGGAAAAGCAGGCTGGATGGAGGAGCTAGATCATGAAGTCCTTTAACATTTATTAAGTATGGATTATGTGCCAGGCACAGTGCTAAGTGCTGGAGATGCAAAGAAAGGCAAAAGACAGTCCCTTCTCTCAAGGAGCACTTAGAGCGATGACAGAGACAATGCAAACAACTCCAGACAGGATAGATTGGGAACAATCAACAGAGAGAAGGAAGGCCAGGGAAGCCAGGAGGTAGAGGTGCGGAGGGAGAGCAATCCAGGGATGGGGGACAGCCAGAGAAAATGTCCAGAGCCAAGGAATGGAGTGTCTTGTTCATGGAACAGCCAGGAGCCCAGTGTCACTGGACTGCAAGGTACAAGGGGTAAGCAGAGCAGAAAGGTGGGAAAGGGTCAGGTTATGGAGGTCTTTGAATGCCAGATAATTTTATATTTGATATACGTGACATAGATAATAGGGAGTCACTGGAGTTTACCAAGTGGTGGTGGTGGTGGTGGTGGCATGGTTTAGTCCAGCGGTGGGGAACCTATGGCCTTGAGGCCACATGTGGCCTTCGAGGTCCTCGGGTGAGGACTTTTGACTGAGTCCAAGTTTTACAGAACAAGTCATTTTATTAAGGGGGTTTTGTTCTGGGAAGTTTGGATTCAGTCCAAGGGCCACACTTGAGGACCTAGAGGGCCACATGTGGCTCCACTCCTGGGCAGGTTCCCCATGCCTGGTTTAGACTTATACTTTTAGGAAGATCAATTTTTGTGGCTGAGTGGAGAATGGACTGGAATGGGGAGAGACTCTGGCAAGGAGATGAGCCTTATTAAGCTATTAAGGTTAGTAAGACTTCAAGATATTAAGGTTACTGGGATAGTCTAGGGATGGGGGTTTAGCCATGTCAGAGGAGAGAAGGGGTCATATGTAAGAGATGTTATGAAAGTAAAATTGACAAGCCTTGGCAGCAGATTGAATATGGTGGATGACAGAGAGTGAGGAGTTGAGCATGACACCTACATTGTTAGTTTGGGGTACTGGGAGAATGGTCCTGTCCTTGACAATAACAGGAAGTTTAGAAGAGGGGAGGATTTTGGGGGAAAGGTAATGAGTTCAGTTTTGGACAGGTTAAGTTGAAGATGTCTTCAGAACATCCAGTTCAAGATGTCTGATAGGCATTTAGAGATGTGAGTCTGGAGGTTAAGAGAGAAGACAGGACTGGGTAAGTGATCTGAGACTCATCAGCACAGAGATGATAACTGGATTCTTTGGAGATGATGAGATCACCCAGTGAAATAATATAGAGGGAGATGAGCAGAGGGGCAGGCAGTTGGAGATAGGAGACTGGAGATGAAAGGCTTTAAATGCTGAACAGCAGTTTGCGCTTTATCTCAGAAATAACTCGGTGCCACTGAGGCTTTCTTAGCTGGAGAGTGAACCTGTGCTTTAGGAAAACAATTCTGGTATCAGTGTGGAATCGGATTAGAAAGGTAAGAGCCCAGAACCTAAGGAGAATAATTTGGAGGCTATTTGAACAGTTTTTAAGAGAGAGGCAAAAGCTTAAATGATCATGGTGACCATGTGAATGGGGAGAAGGAGACAGATGTGATACATGCTGTAGAGAGAGAATCGGCAAAACTTTGCAACTGACTGGATATCGAGTTGGGGGTGAGGGAGAGTGAATGTAAGCCTGGATGACCGGAAGGACAATGATTCTCTCCACAGAAACAGGCAAGTCGGGAAGATGAGAGTCTGGGGGTAAGGCTAAGAAGTTTTGGACATGGAGGAGAGGCATGCAGCCCAAATGAAGCAATGGGAGCTTGGGAGTTTGCCAAGAGTATAGAGAGAGAAGAGAAGAAAGCCAAGGCAGATCTCTGGGATATGCCCATAATTTGAGGACAGCACCCACATGATGAGCCAGAGAAAGCTCTGTCATGAAAACCCATGGAAAAGAGAATATTCAGGAAAAAGAAAGGTGACTAATAACACTAAATGGTGTACAGGGGTCAAGAAAGATGAGGATGGAGATACCATCAGATTTAGGTAATTAGGAGGTAACTGTAGAGAGCGGTTTCATTTGAGAGAGGAGGCTGGAAGAGAGATTGCAAAGGTTTGAGAAGTGAGAGGAAAGGAAGCTTTTATGTTTCTGCTTCATATGAACCGAATAACGATAATTTAATGACTTATCCCCCTGTCTCACAGATTTACCAGCTTCATTATTCAATAATTCAACATATATTAAGCACTGCTATGTACAAGGCTCTCTGCTAGGTGCAAGGGGGGACAAAGGTAGAATAAGAAGAGATTTTAGCTTCAATAAATTTACAATGTAATTGGGGAGAAAGACATATACAAATAATTATGCTATAAGACTGAGTTAAGTGTAGAACAGAGGTAAAGACAAAGTGCTAAGAGAAATTTGAGGAGGGAGAGCTTATTAAGTTACGTGACACTTTTATGAATTTGGTACGTTTATGAAGTGGAGGCCTTTTTTATGTGATTCCCCTCCCCCCATTAGAATGGAAGCTTCTTAAGTACAGGGAATGTGTTTGTTTTTCCTTGTACAGTATTTGCATTGTGCTAAGCACAGTGCCTAACACATAATAAGCACTTAATAAATGCTCTTTCTTAATAAATGCAGCGAGGATATTGTTGTTATTCAGTCATTTTCAGTTGTGTCCAATCTGTCACCCCATTTGGGATTTTTTTGGCAAGGATAATGGAGCCATTTCCTTCTCTAGCTCATTTTACAGAAGAAAAAACAGAGGCAAATAGAGTTAAGTGACTTGTCCAGGGTCACACCTAGTCTGAGGCTGGATTTGAACTCAGGAAGATGAGTCTTCCTGAATTCAGGCCTGAGGCACTTTATCCACTGCACCATCTAGCTGCACAACCCTGCACTGAGGATATAAACAGAAAATTAAGTTAGCTTTGTTGTCAAGGAACTCATCTTATAGTGGGGGAGATAAGTTAGATGGAAATGTCCCATGATCCTTAGGGTATAGCCACAAAGCAGATGACTTTAATGTCAAAAAAAAAACAAAAAACCTCAACCTGTCCAAAACTGGACTCATTATCTTTCCCTAAAGAGCCTCTTCTTTAATGTCATTTCCATGGATAAAATCATATCAATTTATAATGTTGAGTCATTTGATAGCACCAAGGACTCTGGGGGTAAAAACTTTCTTTTCTGGGTCTTCAGGAATATTGACTTATAAAACTAAGAGAAGCAGTTTCTAGGTTTCATCCCATGGGGTTTGCTTCTTGGGATGATGGCTACGGGAGCTGGCATGGAGGCAGGACAGGTAGTCCAGAGGATGTTGCCATTCCCCTGCTCTTGGGCTTATCTGCCTATTGAGGGAGCTGGTCAGCATTTGGTATTGGTGGTGTTGAGGAAGGTGGACCCTATCTTCACAGGGATAGTTTCTCTCAATGTCGGCTATGGGGCCCATGCTAGAAGCAGGGCTAGCAGTCTATGGGGCCTGGTAATACTCTAGCATTTTAGGCTCAGGGTCCTGGGCTATCTCCACTGGAGTCCAAAGGGAGTTAGTTAGTGGTTGATATGATGGTAGTAGTTTGATATGCCTGGCATATGACACCTTTTGGTCTCTCCCTTAGGATACCTTGCTATTTCAGCTGGGTTGGTTTGCCTGGCCCACAAGTGGAAGTTGGATGTCTTGATAAGGAGTTTAAACTTTATGCAG